CAACAGGCTAGATGCAAGACGTCCTCTAATTTCCATTTTCTCCTTTGTTCAGAGTTAAAGAAATCTGTATTTCTTGTTGGACATATGGTTGTCTGCCTGGAACAGTGCTTCCCATTCTATGGGACCAACTTAAAGCCAACAAGATGTTAGCAGAAAGGATGTACAACTAATGGGAAGTATTCTTAAATAGATGGACTGTGTCCTTCACCATCCCTTCTTCTTTCCTACCAGTTGGACAGTGGACACAAGAAAGGACATTGTAGAGCCTGAGGGGACACTTGAGATAGAAGTCACATGAGGAATGGAATCCATCTGAGAAACAGCTCCCCCTTTGGAGTTTGCTGTTGGTATTTTCCATGCTGTTTCCTTTGGCCATTTCTCTTTCTTTTGTGGATGAAATCCTATCACTTAGGACAAGACTGGAGGAGTCTGGCACCCTTTTATTAGCCTAGGCCACCTCCTTCTGGAGTTTCATGCCTAAAAGCAAGGCATTTTTATTCTTATTTAAACCACTGGAGCTCTGAGCTCCTGCCTAAATCTAATACAATTGGTACTAACAGGATAATTCAGTCTTAGGTTTTTAAAAAAATGTGTTTAAAAACACATTTGTTTTTCTATCAGGTCTCTGAAACAATAAAGTGGGTTCAAATGAGGTGAGTGCCAAGGTCAGGCTTCTTTCTCTAGTAAGTGAAGCACTTGATTCAAGAGTCTGGGAGACTGTCCTTCTCCCCTGACCAAAGAAACAGCTACAGCTATACCTGCTCTGGCACCAGGACTGTTCTGTTCTTCTGGGGGAAGAAGCTGCTGCATGTGCAGACCTTCATTTGAATCTGGCACAGCAATTCTTCAACAATAACAACTCTACACCCTGTGACTCTTTTATTCCTTCTGCTTCCACCTAGGTGCAGACCAGGCACAATACTACTGAAGATTAGACGCTTTTTGGATGGATCATAAAAGTTGACAGGAACAAGGTCTATGTGTTAGGTTAAACAGTCTTTGTTCATGGAATCTCATAGCTCCTCTATTTGGCTCAACATAGCTTTGTCTCATTTCATTTCCAGCCTTAAGGCAGAACTAGGATTATTTAAAAAAAAAAAAATCTCTTTCTCCTGGTACTGCTGCTTGTGCTGTTCATTATCTGAGGTAGTCTTGATCCTGCCCTTTCTTCCTCACCCCATAATGTGCTCAAATGAACACTCTGAGTGCCTGAAACTTATAGCTCCAAGAATTCCACTTAACTAGAGGTAAAACTTTACCTGATTCCTTGCTACAATGCAAATGCATGACCCGAAAAGATACTGGCTTAATTTGTTACTATAGTGACTTGAGTTAGTTTACCATATTAGCTAGCTAAAGTCTAGGAAAAAACAAGGAATGAGGCAAGGAAAGACTCTGCAAAAAATGGAAATGAATTGGCTTATGCTGTTAAGTCACCCAAAGGTACTCATTAAGCACCTATTACCCTCCTGCATGATACATTAGCTGCCAGCAAGAGAGGCCAGCTGGGGAGGAATGGAAGGTGGACAACAGATTGGAGGGGGAGGGTCCCTGGGAGATAGTATCATCAGTTTCTATGGTAGAAGGGAGAACTCCAAGGCAGTTCACAGAGCTATCCAAGGAAAGCCAGATCATTTGAGCTGGACCATGTCCTTTGTCATGCTACAATGTGGTGGCAGGAACCCTCCCATTGGCTCCTGCACAAGAGATTAGGAGTATACTCCATCGATGAGGAGGAGTACAGAGGTCTCATTCAACCATGGAGCACTGGAAATTTACTCACTGGACAACTGGGTAGATTGTTCTTTTAACTCTTTTCAGTTTTGGGAAATAACATGTACACTTCACTTCATGAGTCTCCCGTGTATACTTGTTTTTGTAGATACCATTGGATTCTGCTTGGCTTCTTCCTTAAATTCCTTAAATTATATTTTATCCTGTTTATAAGAATTTCCAAATCCCTTGTCTCCACTTATGGAATTATTTTTGATGTTTAACACCAGCTGAGGTTTTAAATATGAGACAATGGTATTTAAGTTACTATTTGTCATTTCATCTTAGTAAATAAATAGTAGAATATACACAGTGAAACTACTATAGTTAAGTAGCAGTAAACAAAATTTAGAAGTATGGTGGTTGTGATCATTTCTGTTAATACTTCCATTAGGCCAGGCTATCATTTGTTAGTTGTTTATTAACATGGAAGTCTGACATTTAGTAGGACAATTTTAAAGGAAAAAAAAAATCTAGTGGCACTATTTTACTCGTTTCACAAACCTTAAATTTTAACATAGAATATGCTTACTTAATATCTTGTCTTATACACCCATAATGTTTTGATTAAACTAATATTATTACCCCAACCACAGAAATGCAAACACTTAGATTCACAACTTTATTCACTATTCTCTTTTTTAAAAATTTTTTAAGATGTTTAAGGATCTTTATTTTATTGATTTATTTATATGTGGCACTGAGAGAATTGAACCCAGTGCCTCACACATGCTAGGCAAGTGCTCTACCACTCAGCCACAACCCCAACCATCTTCACTATTCTTCTGTCAAAGATATTGGTTGATATTTAACTGGAAGAAGAGCATACTTCAATTTTCTCAGGTGCTATCATTGAAAATGCTATATTTTCAATGGTTATAGAATATTATAAGCATATATATAAACACTGGTTGGACAAAAGGAAAATCACTTTTGTCAGGGTGCAAAATATATATTTTCAGCCTTTCTTGGGGAGTGGAGACAACCACTTGACTTCAGTGAGTCTTATTCAGTCGTAAAATGGAGGAGCTTTGTAAGAGGTGTGTGGTGATCCTATTGGTGATCTAGCCCCAGAGGTAGTCTCAATCCTCCACTCCTTGCTACTTGAAAAAAAAAATGTTGGAGTGCCATACTTACTTTCCCATCATCTTTTGAAGCTAGTAACTGGATGATCTATTTCTCACTAATGATCTGTAAGATAGAATCCATTGGCGGGAGGGATTCTGGGGAGAGTTTGCTCTTCTTTATGTTTTGTGTCTCAAATGAGAATGGGATGCCAGGAGTGGAGGGAATTAATTTGCAACCAGAAGCAACAAGCATGCAGAAAAAAGCCAACATGGAATGATGGTTGAGGAGACAGGTACAATGGGTCAGGCTTTTGATAACACTGCTGAGCTGCTACACATCTCTCTTCTTGAGACTTGTAATTATGTAAGCATGTTTAAACGATCTTATTATTTATAAGTAATGCTTTGCCAGGTTTGTTTGTTGGTTTACTTGTGGTCATTGCATCTTATAGACTTTCTATGACTCTGAAGAGATAAGTGTACAATGATCTGAAGACAAAGTCAATTCACTGTCACAGAGATGGTCCAAGTTTACTTCCATGATGAAGGAAATGTCCATACAAAACATGCAAAATATGTGGCCACTGAACACTTGAGAGTGTGGCTAGTGTGATTGAGAAACTGAATCTTTATATTTACTTTTTATTTAATTCTTTCATTTTTTGGTGAATTTTCAATTTTATCTTGCTTTAATTAATTTAAGCTGAAATAGTCACATGTGGCTAATGGCTGTCATGTCTAACAGTGCAGATCTAAAGGATTACTAGTCTACTAAAAACATTTAGATTACTATTGTTATCTTGAACAAAAATTCAGCCTCTAATTTATATATGCTATTTTATAAGCTGAGAACATCTCATTATGGAAAAATGATGATTCAGCGGGGCTTTACATAGCATCGTGTTTGAAGGCTGTTAAACAATATTAAACAACATTTAACTTGCATATTAGCTAACTATACAGAACTGATACCAATTTGAGCATTTCACATTGACAACTATAATAAATGATGTCTTTTTGGAAATAGAATCTTATTCACACTACATTCATTCAGTTGTTTGTTAAGACTTTTGTATTCCCAATCACGACTGAAAAGAAAAATAATAGTGTGCCAGTCTCATTAAGCGGAGGGGGTACAACAACTCTCTGAGATAAATTGTAAATTATAGCTTGCAGAAGATGGCTGGGTATACTGGCAAATCAGCCCAAAGTGTCCCCACCAAGAGCTGTGGGATACCAAGAGCTGACAGACACTGCAGTGAAAATGTAAGAGCAAAAGACACATGATTACACCGGGAACCAGCGATCTGTATGGCTGTCTTGTCCTGGAACATGGAATTCAATGCTCTCTGCTATACCCAAATGTGATTTGGACTAATAATCCCATCACCCCTTAGCATGCTCACATTCACAGCCATTTTCGGGCCTAAGGAACAACTAATTCTACAAGGATCCACGGTGGCCTGGAGCTGTTAAATTAGCACTTCTTCAATCTCCTGACAAGGATCACAGTCACCAATAACTCTTCCATCATGGTTCCCTCCCAGCTGAAAATAGTTCAGTCCCTTTGTGCTGGGAACCCTAGTTCCTTTCTATCTGGTGTTATGCACTATTTTATGAAATAGCTGACAAGTTGAACTTAACAGAGAGACAGGTCTGTCCGTATTCAGGATTCTAACCAGAAATGATGAAGAAAATGAGTTGAATATTTTGCAGTTCTATTTGGTTCTATATGTAAAACATGAAATTTTTAAAATTTTTCAATTTAAGAAAGAGTCACCACCTTACATTTCTAAATAATAGATACTTGCATTCAGTTGCTTCTTGAGCAAGTTATAGACACTAGGTTCATTCAGAGTTGTTTCCCCTGAGAAAGAAATTATTTACAGCCAGTGTCACTTTCGTTTTATATTGAGAAATACTCCCTTCTCATCGGTTTGAATTGCCTTGTTTTGCAAGGAGGACCTGTTTTCTCCATAGGTGTGCTTTGACACACTTGTTTTGCAATAATGTCTAATGTCTAAGAGATAAAGGTGACCATGCTCAGTCCTGATGGAGGCAGGCATGAGACACAGTCACTAGGAATGTCCTACATCTGAAAGAAAGTCCCAGATAGAAAAAAGCTCACAGTTAAAGATGAAGCAAGACATAAATTTTTACCTAGGTTATGGCTCTGAAATGCGGAATCTGCAATTGTATCTTCTTCATCCTCTTGTAAGTTTTCGTTTGCCTCTTTTATCTGCAGAAACAAGAAAATACTGAAAGTTTTTATTCATTGTATTAAATAGATCTTTGCAATCCTCAGAACAATGATATATTCAAAAAATATACATCTTTTCTTTCATTCCACTTTCCCTCACTTTATCATCTGGCTTTTCTAGGACTTTTAATTATGATACCATTTTTTTCAGAAATCAAACCCTAACTTTGGAAGGAAGGATATACAGGTTACCCGATTTTGCACAGGATTTTACAGATAAGAGTTTTGGTTTTAATATAAAACCAGAGTGGGAGACTTACATCATAGGTTATATTAATAAAAATAAAGAAATATACTTAGATCTCCTGACACTTTCCCGGAATGTAACTTTCTAATAAAATTATTTTATTTTTCATTCTTTCCATAATGAAATGAGGTGACAGTGATATGTGCTGTGAACTGAAGCAGTAAGACTTTTATAGACTTCTTACATTAAAACATTCCCCTTATATCTCAGCCGGAACACCTAGACCCTGGATCATGTAACCTCAAATAGAATCCTGGAGAGAAACTCATGGAGTCTCAGTGTTTTACAGAGAGAGAAGTTTGAGGTCCAGGAAATTTCCTTAAAGTTGGCACACATGTAGTGTTGGCGACACTCGCATGAAAACCCGTCTTCCAATTCCCATCTCAGAGACCGGGGTATTGTGGATGCCAGCCAATATGGAGACACCTGCATACAGTGGTGGTGGGGGTGCTGCATAGAGTCTTTTGCACATATCTCATCATCTTCCCAGTAACACCAGGGGCAGGTTCTACTATTACAGAGAGGGTGAGTGATGGTCCAAGTGGTAGAGCTGAGATTCAAACACAGCAAGGCAAGCTCCAGATTTATGTTCAGGTGGGGAAACTTTGCTATTTCTCCAATTTCCATTTGACTCTGCCTCTATAGACTTGACCTCAATATGAAGACAGCTAAGGTCTTTGCTGCAGTGACCCTCCATAGCTCTTTTAAAATACATTCTAGCTAGTCACCTGAGCAGCCAATAATAATGATGATGATGATATGAGCTGTTCAATGCAATGGGGGTCCTGCTTGGGCACATACATTAGAGGCTGTCAGTGGATTTGCTCAGGGGCTCAAGTGGAATACGAGGAAACCATTATTTTACACTTGCAATATAGAAAGCCATATGGTTGCATACTGACCTTGAACTAGATTTAGCTTTCTACTTTTTATCTCCTATTTTTCACACTTAATGGGAAAAGACCAATTATTTACATTTTATGACTGCAGTTTCAATAGAAGAATGCAATTGGTGCGTAATCTGTACCACGCTGATAGCCAGAAGGTGACAAAGGCGGGAGGCGAGGTAGACATGACCGCCACCCTGGCAGGTTCAGCATCTGGAGACTGCACTTCCTCACTTGCTCTGTGGGCACCTCCACAGGAAGAATGTTAGGGAAGAGAGAATGAAGGGAGCAAAGGCTTCAAGCAGCTGCTTCTAAGAATGTGAATTTAAGGAAGACAGAGAGGAAAAAGCCCTCTGAGCAGGAGTGAAGTTGCTGATTTGCCTTCCAAGTTTCACTTTGCTCAGCAATCTATTTATGGCAAGGGTACTCAAAACCCAGAAAGAAAGGGACCCTTCAACCAACTTAATTTTCCATTAAGAATCCATTGAGCGCCTTCTACCCTCATTTATGGATAGACACATCAAGGAAACCTATATCTTTAGTTCATTCCAGCTCTTATAGCCATCTGTTCCATATACACTCCCCACCTGTTAATGTAAAACAGTATTTCTTTGGGGTTATTCTAAATTTGCCCATTTTAAACTTGCAAAGGTACCCTCCTAAACTGTTGGAATGTGAGTGAACCATCATTTCTGTCAGCCTGTGAAATTCAAACTAAAGAATCAAGAAATTAGAAAAAGTTTTGCACCTTATAAAGGATAACAGGCTTAGAGAGGGTTAGTGATCTGTTCAAAGTCACGTAGGGTTTTACTTTTAGAATGGCACTTCTGAACCCTATTCATTGAGATAAAATTCATTTTTTCAAAGTTCCCTATATTGGTATGAACATCCTTCTCACACTGTTCCTGTTATGGTGTGGATATGAGGTGTTCTCCAAAAGTTCACATGTGAAACTGTGAAAGAAGGTTTGGAGGATAAATCATTGGGTCGTAGCCTTAAATTATCAGTGAGTTATTCCCTAATGGGATTGACTGAGTAGTACCTGGAGGTAGGCAGGGTGTGGCTGGAGGAAGTGGTTCATTAGGGGTGTGGGTATGAGGTATAGATTTTATATTTGGAGAGCAGAGTCTCTCTGTCTGCTTTCTGATCATCATGTGTGCTGCTTCCTTCTGTCATACTCTTCTGTCAGGATGGAACTGGTTGAATATGGACTGAGAATTCTGAAACTGTGAGCCCCTATATAAAAATTTCCTCCTCTACAATTGTTTTGGTTGGATCCTTTAGTCACAGAAGCAAAAGAGCTGACTAAAAGAGTCCTCTAAATTATGATTTCTTTCTTAAGGTGGGTAGTTAAATAAGGAGGCAATATTCAAAGTATTCATTAATCATAAAGATCTATTTTAAGAGTATCGAAGATTCTCTCTCTCTCTCTTTCTCTCTCTCTGTGTGTGTGTGTGTGTGTGTGTGTGTGTATAAAACTGCTCTGCCTCCCTGCCCTACTATTCCCTAACCTTTCTGTGGAACTTTACTACCACCTTTTTCCAAGTTATCATTGAAATCATAAGCTATCATGGGAGTCCTATCTTTTGCTTCTTTATCAGATCTTTCTAGGACTTTATGCACTTAAGAACAAATGCTAAGTGTGACTTCTACGATTCATCCAAGGAACGGGCCTTATAGACAAGGTCCCAGTACTTGATTTAAGATGGGAGGATGACAGGGGAAATTTTTAAATTTGAAAGGGACAGATGAAGCACTAGAAAAGGAATGGAAATAGGGGAATGCCCTAGAATGGCAAACTCCTCAGCTCTAATTATCCACACAAACAGATTTCAATGCTAAGTAGTGAATAATTTTTTAAATCCATTTGGCTATGCAAATGAGGGGCATAATTTATTTTGGCAGCAGATTCCCCCTGCTAATTTTATTTCTCATAGGAACAAATTTAATTTTCATTCCTGATCATGTAGCTGCTAGGTTATGGGAAACTACAGGGATAAGGGGCTGCCAGGTCCAAATTAAGAATTTTGCCAAAGACAGGCAGTAGCAGAACAACCTCTCCTGGCAGAGCCCTAGGAAGATTGAGAGTGGCCACTAAACCAAGAAGCTTGGCAAGTGTTTGGCTGGGAAAAGACTGGTAGGTAGAAATTCAGAATTTCTCAGTCACTGCTATCTCAGGACAAATAATTCCAGTACTCTCCATTTGAAGAGAAGTAGCAGATGGCTCATAACTAACAATTAGGTGCTGTTGGGGTGCACTGTCAGACCTCTGGGCACCTTCTAAAGATGCATTTCTAATTCTTGTCCAGTTTTTAGGGCTCTGTCATTATAGACAAGAACAGCTCCGAACATGAGCTAGTAATAAGTGACCTGTCACATTTCAGTGCATCCATCATATATTTCCAACTCCTACCACTAGGAAGGACAGGAAGAAATGAGCACACATAAGGCACGGAGGAAAGTGGAAGACAATATTCACCACTGATTCACACATATAGATGATTTCATCATTGAACCCTGTATTGGGGACACTCTTCATTTGGAAGAAGTATCCATATATGTTCACATATTTCTTCTCTAGGTCACCCTGATGCTAATGACTTCCCAGGAAAACTTTTTTTTTTTTCTTTTGGTTACTTTAAAGCTTATTTAATAGGAAAAGCACATAATGAATCTATGACAGACAGGGAGCAATCCTGGGAGGGAAAACTAAAAGGCATGACCTTTGGAAAAATTAGTCATTTAGAAAACTTTGTAAGAGGAGGACAACATAGGCATGCTTCTTATTAGCATCCAAACAGCATTTAAAACAGCATCATTCAATTATGGATATTGAAATTAGGACATTTTTGCAAAACTTAAGATGATAACAATTTGTGTAATTATTGTACTATTTGCTGCTGCTTCATCACCAGAGTCTCATTTTAATGGGATAGTATTAGATGATTTTTTATTAGCAGATGTGATTTTTTTTCAGACTATGTGATACTTCAGTGAAGAAAATACCCATAATTTAAATTAAAATACTTGGTAAAATGGCCATTTCCCTCCTGTGCATGATGAAGGTGTATGATCTCATTAACTTTGTTAACAATTTTTATTTTTGTCCAGTGGTGTTAAATAGGAGCCTGGAGCTGTCTTCCTTTGAGACTTCTCATTTCAGAAAATTATCTCAATGCACAGGAAAAAGGAACTTAGAACTCTCAGCAAGCAGAGTGCATCTCAATCTGACTCACTGACTTAATGCCGAGGCAGTCTTTCTACGGGATGCCTTTCCTCCTTCTTTCATTTAAATGATATAAAATCATTTTAAGTTCAAAGTAACATGGCCCCTGCTCTAAATTACGCAAAAATTAGAGCAAAGTGGTCTATAAATGATGGCAGAAATGGGGATGTAAGCCTCTAATTAAGGTTCTGAAAAGAGTAGAAGATTTAATTCAGCAAAGCATTACTGGGACTTTTGTACATGTTTTAGAATGTGTTTTAATAATATTAAAGAGGGATATGCAGTTACTACTGAACTGACTGATTTGCTACCAAAAAGGGATTTTGCATATATGTATACACACATGTATATGGGATTAATCTTTTATAACTACATTAAAATAATCAAAATGTCTTAGAACTCTCATGATTAAATATCTTAGTTTTAAAAGTGGAAGAAAGGGCAAGGAATGGTGATACATTATGTCAAACGTTTTGGAATGGTTTCACTCAGGAAAAAAAAGTATAATATGTAATGCATATTTATAGTTATTATATATTCAAAAGAACCACTGTAAGAAAAAGTATTATAACACACTGTAAAATAAGAACAAATTTACCTTGAGCTCTAGTGGGGAAAAAAAAATCTTTGAACTCTGAGGTTCATGGGTAGGCACATCAATGTACTAAGGTATCAGAGTTTTGCATCTAATCTTTTTTCTATATACACTGATAATATATAATAAATGGGTTTTCACAGCGACTCTTGTACTAGTCCCAAAAGAGACACTAGCAATGTTGTTTCTGAAATTAGTAATTTTAGCCCAATCCACACTGATGATTATGGAGATGAAACAAAAAAAAAACACTGCATTTTACATTTTTTTTTAAATGGACTAGTTGGTCATCTTTCCAGGTTGATAATGTTCTTCTGTATAAAAAAGCTTCTCAGCATGACTAATTTCCTCTTGCAGCTAACTAGAAAAATTAGCATATCCCTATTGAGTATATATTCAGGATGGTTAGGGAATCTTTGTACTTCACAGAAAATAATAAGAGTGCTTCTTGCAGATATTCTGGAAAGAGCAAAGGACCTTTTCTACTACTCTGTAAAAGATTACAGAACAGAGGGGAAAAGCTTGGCAAATTACTGTAGCATTAGGAAGTAATAAGAATGTAAAAATGGGATTGTAAAAGCCAAACACAGGGTTTTTTTTTTTTTTGGTACTTCTGTACAGTGAAGATATACCCTAAGCTGTCAGAGCCTTATTAAATGGGACATAGTTAAATGGAGTGCCTCTGATAAGGGGCTCTGGCTGGGCTATCAGAGTTTTCCATCAGCTGGATTGAATTTCTGGCATATTGCACGTTTCCACACGTTCATTCTCTCGTTCCTTTCAGTGACAGTACAAGGGCAGCCTTAGATATGCTTATAATTTGTGGCTTTATAATGCAGGGGACATCTTTACGTTTTCAAAGAAGGAACGATACCACAGACAGCCGCCAAGAGTGGAAATGGAGAGAAAAAGAAACAACTTTTGCAAAAAACATAGAGTCCACATATGATTTCAGACAATTTGAAAGACCCTACAGCCCTTTGAATTAAAAAATGTATCTGACTGCAAAAAATTTAAATGTGCACTTGTCTCAAATCTCACTATGTCTGTGAAACTCAAAGGAATGCTAAACATTAATAAATAATTATAAGTAAGAATGAATAACTAATAATGCCAGCCATGATTACTTTTAGAATATTTCTACTATAGAACTATACCAGAAAAAGTATATAATAACTTCACATTTCAAGTTTTTCCTCAGAAAATGGTAGCAGGTATGATATTTTATAATCTTTTTATTAGAGTATGAAAAAATATAGATAAGGTAATTCTGTAAAGTTTTTTTGGTGTAAGTGCTTTAAAACTTATTAAATGGAACAATGAACACATCAAGTCAGTTATACAAGCATATAAAGAATGTAAAGAGAATAAATTCAATTTAAGGTGACTTTAAAATAAAAATATGATGTCTTAGGGAAATATAAAAGTATCCTTTTATTTACATTTTAAAGGAAGAGTACTCCCCAAGTCTTGGACCTCATCACTGAAAAACTAAATGATAAGGCTCCAAGTTCCAAAAATGTAATTCTTAGTCTTAATGCTTTCTGTCCAAGTAGAATGAACTGGGTACAGACAATTTTCACAAAATATGAACACTGTTTAAATCAAACCATTCAAGTAGCCAACACTCTCTTAAATTGTTCAATACACTTATTTCTAAAACCATGCTCATTCCTTTTTTGTGGTTGGTGTTGGAAGTCATCAGAACTAATTTCTAGCACAAGGTATAATTTGAAAGTGATGCTGGTGGCACAATTTGGCCACATTGAGCTTCCATCATACCATTGTTCTGAAAGTAGGAGTGAGAAAAACAGCATTCCTGGAGGGAGCTGTTCCCACGTGCAGTCCAGCTGCTATCTCTCTACAATATTGATCACCAGAATTTTTCTGTTTTTTAAAAATCTTTTTCACTTTCTCTGTCCCTTGCAGTCTCTACCCATGCATTATTAGCAAGGGGTAGAAAGAATCCAATCAGTCCAGCACTGAAGGAAGCACCTTATGGTCAGCATGGTGGTGTACTTACCAGGGAGTCTCTGGGTGTTACCACATCCGCTTTGGTTTTGACATTTTTCTTGTGGCTTCCTTGAGTGCTGATAGAGCTGCCGATGAGACAGGAGCCCTGGGAACTGCCCTTTAACATGTTCCTGCAGGAAACATTCTTTGATCCACTCTCTGTCTGTTGAGCTCCTTTCTTATCAACTCTGCAGGTAGAAAGTGATTCCTCTGATAAATTACATTGCTCCTCTTCAATCACTCTCCTTCCCCCAATCCTTTAATGTCTAAACTAACTCCATGCAGCTCTTTGTCTTTAGGCCTTTGAATGGTAAATGTTACTCAGCAGCCTTGAGTGACTAATATGCCAGGAGTGTGTCAATGTAGATGCTATAATAATTTACTTTTTTAATTTTTATGATGCTGTGCGGAGGGGCAAAATGAAAACCACCAAAAAGTGACTGATAAATACATTCTGGCTTAAGGTCGGCAGGAAAAGTAATTATGTCTGGAAAGTTTCTAAGTATACGTTTGCTCAGTACAACCAATGAAATCTGCATACTATAAAACCTATGTGTAATTTTCTTCCATTTCATGCCATGTGGGTACATTCGTGGTTCCTAGTATAGGTTGAATTTCTATCAACCTTGATAAAACTTACCATTCTTTAATTTCAAAGACCATTGGCTTGGTTAACAAAGTATCATGGACTAAATTATCATTTTATTGCTCACTTTTATTTCATTGTTTAATTTCCGGCTAATGTATAGTAAGACTGCTTCTATGTGTTTCTGCTTTTGTGAAAACCGTGTTTGACTGGCATCTGATGTGTGGTAAGGAAAGAGCTCTCCCTAAGAGGGGGGAGGCCTGTCCTCTACATTGCTGTTCACTGTCCCCTTGAGTTACCTGTTTAAGAGTTCCGTCATAAAGTTATCTTTTGCTGAACAAGTAACAGGGTTGGGTCTGTTTCTTGGTTCCAACTTCATTCGGTTGTAAATGTCTGGTGATGTTTTCAGGTTATTTTTGCTTTGCAAACCAGCCTCGGGACTGTCTTCCGACGTGTTGCCCCTGTTGAGCACATTTTCGATTTCATACTGCAGTTCAGACTTTTTCTTTTCTTTTTTTCTTTCCGATTTCAGTTGTTTGTTTCCAAACCCCAAGACTTTTGCATCTTTCTTTTCCACTTTGGTTTTGGACACATCCATTTTCCGGCTACTAAGAGCTGGAAGTCTGCTCTTCCGAAAACCAAACCAGCTGGCGAAAGAAGGCCCAGGCTTTGGCTTTGCTTCCACAGAGGTGGACTTTGTCTGCACTTGGCCCTTTTCCACGTTTTCCTGAATGCACAACATGACCTTTTCTTCAATTGTGGGTGAGAGGGGGGCTTCTGGGCTCACAGCACCACTCTCAGTTTTAGAGGCATCTGGATGCCTTCCAGAAGTTTCTAGCGTGGATGCTCTGCTTGTTTCCAAATTGTTTGGAGGCTGTGTCCTCCCTGGGGCCATCAAGGCTTGAGGGAAATCTGCTGGGGTGGGTAGGCACCTGCAGTGGTCACTGCCTGGTTCCCCAGATACAGTCAGGCCGGCACATTCTACCTGGGCATAGGCCCGCTGGTGTTCCATTCCAGGTGGGGTGGGGATCCCTTCAGGTTTTGGGGGGATCCTCAGGGGCAACTTGCTTGGGCTCCCATGCTGGCTACTGGAACTGCCTGTGCTCCCTTGGGAGCATTGCCGGGAGAAGGAGTGTCCCAGGGGCTTTCCAGCACTGGGGGGACTCTCAGATGCGGGAGCAGAAGAGCTCTTGGGAGGAGAGCTTTCGGCAGAGGCATTCTGCCTGGTAAGAGAATTGCCTCTCTCAGCAGTGTTGGTAATAATCTGAGTTCGGATTTTGCCTGAACCTTCCATGGGGGGAGTAGAGGGTTTGTCTCCTGAGTGGGCACTGAAGCTCTGGCTTCGGGCTTTGGCACCATTCATGCCTAGAGCTGGTTTTAGGTGTGGTTTGCTGGAAGAAAGCGATCTTTTCACGGATCTGTTTTCCACTCCATCTTTTCCATCAGCCCTAAGGATGCCATTTTCTAATGATTCTGGCAGTGCTGTTTCCAGGGGAAGTCCTTCCACTAAACTGTCTGGCCCTTGTGAACCTAGTGTAGAGGTGGTTCCTCTATTCCCTGCGGTCTCAAGCCTTGCTGGATGCCGGGAGTCCTCGGGTTTAGACTCGCCCACAGCCACAGAACTTTTAGAGGCTTCGTTTAAACTGTCTTTTTCATGTTTTCCTGGCACCGTGGAACTTTTCCTGAGCAACTGGGGAGACTTCATGAGAACTTTGAGTCCCACCGGGAGACGAGTTTTCAGTCCTTTCTCATGAGCATTATGACAACCATATGGGGCACTATGGCTTTTGAAGGAGGAAGAGGAACTGTTAACCTGAGATGATGGTGACTCACTGGCCCCTAAGAAGGAAGGCTTGGGGGATGCGAGGACACTGTCATTCACTTGTCCTTTTCTTCCTGGAGATACACTTTTGGAGGCTATCTCTACTGGCTCATGGATGGAAGGACAATTCTTGGGTGTCCTTAACCCTGTGTCTGTGTGTAGGGTCCCAAGTGTTTGGTGAGGAGAGGTTTTGGGGACACCTCTCTTTGGAGAGAACTTTGGAGGCCCTGGAGACATCATGGCAAAAGAGCTAGTGGGGATGTGAGCAGGGCATCTGGTGGGAATCGTGGCTTCTGTGGAGGGTGGAGCATGGGTGAAGACAGGCTTTTTGAAAGCCACGGAAGGTTTCTTCCTCTGCACTTCTGTGGTGGCATGATTCGAAGAAATGACAGGAGCAAAGGTTCCTTTCAGCAGAGGGGCCTTGAATACTGTCCTTGCCGTGTCGCTGGGGACTCTGGCTTCAGATTTGGCAGATGAAGGTGGCGGCAGACAGTCATAACTGGACCTGACCAGGAGGGAAACTGACCTGCCTGGAGGAGGGGGCGGGGAAGGAGACTTCATTCCCAGGTCTGGCTCTGAGTCACAGCGTTGGTCCCTTGTAGGAGGGTCTCCATTCTCATGAGGCTCTGCAAGGGGCCTCGACCGCGATCCTGGAGCCTGACTCTTAGAGCACTGGACCGAGTCCTTCCTGCTGGACATTTTGGGGCCATGGGGGAATTGGAGAGGGTGTTTTGGAATGTGAGATTCTGTTTGTGCATCCGAACAGAAGGGCCCTGGGCTCTCAGTCTTCATGAACCGTGAGAGTTTCCCAGGGAGTAAGGCTGATGATTTCTCAAGAGTCACTAGGCCAGAGGGGGAACCTAGTGTGGAAGCTTCAGGCTCTATTATTTTTGATTTCTGAGGTGAAGACTTGCCTCTGGCAGGTATTTTTGTCAGACTTTGCTTTTGATAGATACCTACAGATGCCCCAGACCTTGAATTACTCTGGCATGACATATTGTGTGCTGGCTTGGTCGGTTTTTGTCGTGGGGCATTTTGCGTAACTGACTGGGGGCTGAAGGAGTCTATGGTCACCAGAGGAACATGATCCACGTCATCCTTTGGAATGTTTTTCTCACTTCCCTCTTCAGATCTTCTTAAGAAGGCAGAATCTCTCGCCGCAGCAGCTCCCGGCTGTAAATGAGCAATTCCCTGAGGTGAAAGTTCCATGTGTTCGGCCTTGGGCCCAGCAGAGGCCGTGTTGATGGAGATTTCATTTCTGGTAACAGTGACAACTCCAGTCTGGTGAGAGCTGAATTCAACGGGTTCACCGTCTTCTGCATCAAATATCACAGTGACACATTCTTCTGAAGAAGTCCTTTTTACAACCCTTTGCTGCTTAATAAAGCCAAATGTCTTTGGCCTCGTCTCTAGGTAGGTGGGCACAGTTTTTTCCTCTTTAGGAGACTCAAGTTCAGACTTTCCGAATCCTATGAGGATGTCCAGGTTCTCAGTGGACTTGTCGGTGTCAGCAGTCAGTGACAGGTCTGAGGGGCTTTTCTCATCACTGCTCTCTATGCGTAACTCATCTAGGGTTTCGTTGTCATCAGTGTCTGAGAGCTGGAGATTGAGAGCCACGTGACCATGGCCTTGGTTGTGCGGATCTCTCTCCCTCTGCACCTGAGGTACCTGCACACTTGGGCACAGCTTCCTGTCCAACGGGTAGTTGCTGGCACAATGAGATAGCTTTTCAGGCTTTTCCCTGGGGTAAACTGAGGACATGTCTTCTGAAAAGTGTTTTCCATCGGGCTCCCAGCCAAATAGACTATCAGAAACACTGTGGGTTAACTTACTGCTGTGCAGCCTGCAGCCTTCATTTGGAACTGTTTGCAGCAATGCTAAAGAGGATGAGTCTTCATCGGCATCCTCCTGAGGATCTGTATCATAAACAAATGTCTTGTGGAGCTCCCTGCCAGGGCTCCCCACACCAGGTAGTTTGCTGGAAGGATATTCCTTAAGGCTGTCACTTTTAATTCCTGGAGAATATATTCCTTCATTTGAGTTCATGCAATCTTTATAACCCCATTTGGTTATCACTGACGGGGGTTCAAGTAATACTTTGCATTTCTGTAGCTTCCTTAGCCCTTCCAAAATATGACTTTCCTTGATCCGAGTGGGAGGTAGTTCATCTGCAGAACTAGCAAAGCCACTTGGGAGTGAAGAATCGATACTTAGCCTTTTATCCCAGTTTTGTGTTGATTGCTAGGAAAAGAAAAGCAGATATCAGAAACAATTGAACCATGTAGATCACAAATATATAAAAGGAAAAACCCACTGTTAGGCTTAATTTGTGCTATTGGTTAATAAGGATTCACATATAAATGTAGTTTATGCAATGTTAACTATGTAGCAAACATTGATTTTGCCAGATCCTGTGCTACAGTAGCACCCTGAAATAAAGGAATAGAAGGTAAGATCTCTACCTTGGGGGAGCAGAAAACTCAGCAGAGGAGAGAGGAGTTAGCTACAATTAAGTGTATGTCATAGGAGAAAATGAGACCTGTAAATGGGGTGGGTATTATAGATTCAGAAGAGGGAGCCCAAAGGCTTGTTTGGAAAAATCTTGAAAGGAATATAGGAAAGATATTTTTTTAAAAACATACCTAGCTCTTGAAAGACAAATAGACTTGCCTCGGGTTACAAGTGGGGAAAAGGCTTTCCAGGTTGAAGAAATGGAATGGGGAAATACCTGAGTCAGGGAGGTACGTTCAAGGAGCACTTGGGGAATACCTAGAAGATAATAGGGCCTACCTGTAGAGTGCCGATGGCATATGGAGAGGGTAAACCAGAAAAGTAAGCAGCTCCCTATCTACATGTTCTTTCCATTCTAACATTTGATAGTTCTTTGACTTCATGAACATCAATAAAATGTTTCTGAAGTTATTAGGTATACATTCATGCCCTTACATATATGCTTACTTATAAGACCTGGGCATTTTCTATTAGAGCCCCATAGTAATTATTCTTCTACTAACTTACAAATGTCATTTTCTTGCCCTTCATACTTCCTCAAATGTCAACCTTAGTTTTGGGAACCTGTTTTGGAAATGTCACAGGAAAAAGATTGCATTCCACACATTCACATTTTTCACACCATTGGCTATAAAAAAAATGGAAGGGCAAAAGGAAGGGACTAACATTTACTGAGCACCTGCTGTATACTGACCACGTTCACAGTACATTGCATCATCGGAACACTACCATAGGGAGACAATATCCTTCTTATTTTACTATGGAGAAAACAGATTCAAAACTGGTCCGTTGCAACTTACAGAGATACAAAGAGCTGGAGCAAGGGTTTGGATTCTGTTTTCCCTGACACTTTCTACAGCACTGTCCATTTTACCTCAGTTCAAAAGTGGCCGGAGGGGATGTCTCCAGCTCTCGAGCCTGTGTTCCTAATCTTGATGCTATTCTACAAAGTGAAACTTAGCTTCTAGTCTCCCTTCTGCATTAGACAGTGTCCTAACAGAAATCACAAGTTACATGTGCACTAATTTCTTGAATAGAACTTGCAGTTTAAATTACAAACCAGCACCCAGGGAAATGGGTAGGATGTGAAGGCTGATCTCATGACTTTTTACAAAAGGTTACATAATTAATGGCAAGTAATTTCAACAGCTAAATGTGGTAGTTCCAGAAGAGCACTCAGTACCAGTCTTGACTACACCAGCTGTTCTCTGCCGTGTAATTCTGAGTGTTTAAGTATGTGCTCATGTGCAGAGATTGAAAAAGTGTCAGAAACTTACACTGGGACCTGGGCTTTTAAGTAATCTGTGAACATTTGCTTTTATCCAAGAAATTTCCATGACAATTATTCTTGCTATTCATAACACACATTATTTGTTTTTAAGTCAAATTACATATTTTCTTTCAATAATTCCTTGGTGTCAGAAGTTGCTGGGAATAAATGTTATTTGGTGATGGCATCCCTTTTCCCTGCTCTTCCTCTTTGCCATTTAAAGCTCCTTTGGAAATCAGAAGCAATCCCCTCAGTGAGTCTGAGTATTATAGACCACCCAGGTACAGTCAGCCTCAGCTTAGATTTCTAAGAATTTCTATGATCCCGATAGTCACATGGACAGGAAAGCAGAGAAACCAGGCAAAAATGCCCTGCAAGAGCTTGGATGAAGCAGATGAGTCTACCCCACAGAAGGTACTCGTGGCCTCTGCTGACCCTCCTCCTCTCTGCCCATGTAGAGTCTGCCCGTGCTGCACTTCACCTTGCCCCAAGGTTGACAGCTATAAACCTTCAAATGAGATTGGTCACCTTCCTCCACCATTTTCCACAAGAGATCGTGGCATTTAACAACTTGAATAACGTCTAACCTATCTAGAAACTTGGGAGCAAAAATAAAAGCATGCGTTCCCTGTGGCTGAGGGGACTGGGAGGAGCTGGCATTTTCCACAGGTGGATGCCTTCTCTGCTGGGCAAAGTTGCAGGAGAGCTGCCCTCTGGAGTAGTTGTGGATGGCTGCAGGATGCTGCTGCTGAGGTAGGGGTCATAATGCCTATACTCGTTTTCCACTCCTTACCTAGACATCAGGATTATAATTTTATTTCTTATTTTATAAAGGACATTGTTGGTCTTACTGGGAATAAATCCATCCCAACACTGGGCACAACACCACATGTATTAGGCTGACTCAACAAGACCAGGAGAGCAGAACCATTAAGAGTGAAGGTTCTGGAACCAATTGCCCAGTTCTGCCATGTACTGGCCATGAGATCTTGGGCCAGTTACTTAACTTCTCATCTGTTACTCAGTTTCCTTATCTGTAAAATGTGGAGAATAGGAAAATGTACTTAACAGACTATTGCAAGCATTAAATGATACTTGGGAAGTGCCTAAAAAATCCGAGATAAATGATAATAATTCTTTAATTAGAGCCAAATTACTCCATGTAGAGCATGCTGGTGCATTTCATTCAGGCTTCCTTTCTGTTTGTACATAAAACAGTATAAAAAAATGCTCTTGAGTTCAAAAAGAGCTCTTAGTCATATATTTTATATAAGTTAATATTATACATATAAATTCATAGCATTTAATTTTATTATGCAAGTTGAAATAAATGAGCACCTGGCACCAGGTAAAAACTCCCAAAATTCCTCCAGTGCACAGAGATTCCATGACCATGAGTGCACGCCACCCAGTGTCTGTGCAATGTCTTCAGAACTTTCCTTCCTTTCTTCCCGGGGCAGAGATTGCCTTAGAACATCCAGGGCTGCTCTAATTCAAAGAATTCAGTCAAAATTTTTAAAAAAGAAAGTCAAAGGCTCTGGGAAGGACAGCTAAGTGGTGCCAGAATGAAATGAGCAGAGTATGGGGCCATGGGAGTCAGCACAAAACTCAGAGACAAAGCGAGGAAACCTCTCTGGCCCTGTTCCTGGTCTCTGAGGAGTCAGGCCCCTGGCAGTCATTATTCAGAATTCTGAACTGTTCCTCAGAGGGAGCGATTTTGATAATGCAGTAGGCTCTCCACTTTGCATTAGATGTCTGAGTCTAAGGGAATAGGCTTTAAATGCAAGCTTGAAATCTTTTTTGGAGTTCTTGTTCAGAGGATGACAAAGCTGCTCCCTCACCAGTATTTTCTGGGAGTTATGGAATTTTCCTGGTTTCTATACTGCTGAAAGCATAAACTAAATTTACCCAAATGGTAGAAAAATGACTTTCAAATATTCTGATTCAAGGTTCCCATTCTCACATATTCTGCTTTTCTTCCACTCTGGGGAACTGCTAAAACAGCTCTTTCAAAATTCTTGGCTTGCACCAGTGTGAAAAGAAGTTTGGTCAAAGCATGAAGGGATATTTAGATGTGTGAGCCCACTGTGCAGGTGGATGGCTATCCTTCTAATGGGAAGCATTGTCTAAGCACCTTGCCACATAAATAGGAATGGACCTACTTTCACTGAAGGCAGGGTCCAGTATGCTGCCTTCCAGTTGATAGTGAAATCATATTTGATGAGCCACAGCACTGATTAGTGGAGGTCAGCATAAACCATGAGCAGGTACTCAGCAAATGGTCATTTCCCTCTTAACCCTCCCTTCTACCCTCCGTGACCACATCCTACCAGCAGAGGATCTGGTTCACTCAGATTCTAAAAATGCCTAGAAAGGAGCCTTACCCTTTTCCTGAGGTTCTTGCTATCATGCCACGTGTAAGAGGAGCCACTGGAGTATTCGCTGCAGGTGCTGGAAAGGGACAGTTCACTGCTACTGCAGCTGTTTCGAGGACAGAGGTGACCAGGGATGACAGCCCCCAAGCCAGTACACTTCAGGGCAGAAGTTCCTGATCTTGCATTCAGTTGGTATTCCTGAAAAGGCAAGAAAGTTCTGAGCAAGTGCCTGCTTAGGGAAGAGTGAGTACCAACTGAACCTCATAGTGAGTAGTCAGAAGCACAGACTTAGGAGCCAAGCAGACTGTGTTTACTGTGTGGCAACAGGGAAGTTAGTTAGCTTTTCCAGCCATGTTCTCCTTTTCAAAGGGAATAATGACAGTGGTGCCTCCCCTAAAGGATTATTGAAAGGAGTCGATGAGTTACTAGATATGAAGCACATAGCACAGTATCTGGCCTATAATTGCTGCTCAATTATTGCAAGTTCATTATAATCAGAAGTACTATGATGGTGGTTTCTTTTATCCTTTCTTACAGGTTAGAAAATAAGATCAACATCAAAATATGACTGAAGGTCATTGTAATGCTTTGAGCAACTAATAAAAAAAATTTGATGAACAAGTTATACTAGTTTATATGATAAAATTTACATTTTTGGTAACATATGCTTTGGCAAAAATATCTAGTTTATTCAACCCCATTTCAATGTTTAAATGAATTCTAGTGTCACGTAAGACTAAAAAAGAACAAATAAAAAACAAGCATGTAAAAAAAAAATATGACTCAAGGGCTGCTTGTCCAGCCGAGAGGTAGAGTGCTTGCCTAGCACGTGTGACACCACAGGCTCCTTTCCCAGCACCACAAAACAGAACCCCCCAATGACAACAATAACATGACTTGAGTGCTACAAATGGAAGGAGACAGAGTAGTGTCCCTGGCTATAGGGTTCAAGAGCCTGAGCACTACACTGCTAGTCTAGTGTCTGGATCAGGCTACACAATGTCACTAAATATGTGATCTTGAGAAACACAAAAAATTAACTTCCATGGACCTTAATGTCCTCATTTGTAACTTCACTAGATTACTCCCAAGGTCCCGTCTGGCTCTGACAATATTCTTTTAAATGAGCTGTCAAATGCCCCCAGTTTATCGGTGCCATCTTTTAATAAGCCACGAACAGGGGACAACAAACTTATGTATTCCAAGTCTACAATATAAAATATAAGACTTTTTGTATCTAGTTGGCTGTCCAAATGTCAATAGTGCACACATCAAACCCATCTGGGTCCTATGCAGAAGGCCCAGGCTGTTGGAATGCTTGTGGTCTGCATAAAGCAAGGGTGACCAATGAACTGTGAACATCCAAGCACATCTTGACAGCACATTACTGCCCCTTACATAACAAATGAAGTTCTACAAACCAGACAGGCTAAATTAAATTGGTACCCAGACCACTGAGAATAAAATCTCTCTACTACCATCTAATTCCAGTCTCCTATCTATATAAAGCTTTGTTTCAGTAACTCTTTGATGGGGTGCTATCTGTCTTGGCATCTCTTGCCTCTTACTTATGTGATTCACTGACACTTTCTGGGTGCCTCTGGTACCCCAGTACTTATCACTGCTTTCCAAGTGCAATTCCCACTGACGGTGACTAAACACCACGCAGGGAAGAAGGTAATGAGAATGTGAGGGTGCTTGTGGTAATGCTGAGCCCCTGCATAAGTGCATGGGGCATGTTTAATTTGCTCTCGAATCAATATCCATAATACTTAATAATGTTAGATTTTATCTGCTTTGCTATCAATACTTTATTTTTTGCTGCATAACAATTTCTTTAAGTGATCTAAAAATGCCAAGAACTTTTATTACCCTACTCCCCTTCCCCTGAAATGTGACTCTAAACATCAATGAAAGGAGAAATTGGTCTTAAAACCCCAGATTTTAACAGTATCTATTGGTTTATACCCTTGTTTGTTGCCAGATGTAACTTGGTAAAGGGGAGTTCATATTTGGATCTCAGCTGCCTACGACCAATGGCTGTGTCTTGCTGGAGCACCTGGAAGCTAAGCCTCAACCATCACAGACATCTAGAATGCTCCCTGAGCAAATATTCAGAAACACCCCACCAGACCCCACCTCTACTTGTGTGCTGTCCAATTCCTCCAGCCTGTTCTCTCACATTGTGTTGTCTGAGTAATCCGGAAAGAGGTAGTTATCTAGGGCTGCCTCTGCTGGTAACTATGTCTCCTTTGCAGAGAGGGCTTGTGACTGCCTTTCGCCAGGTGACCTGGAACTAAGTTCCACTGGCCTTTTTACACTCTGCTTGGCTTTTAGTGACAGTTTACATCCTGCCTTTTCCCAAAGTACTGGGGCTTGTATATCATTTCCTACCTATCCCTTACCACTACACCTATCAAATTATACCTGTTTTTACAACTTAACTCAATTCTCAGGATTCTTAATGCATAGGCCCCCTTGCCCAGTTATAACCCATATGAGTACCTCCTGCAAAGAGGCTGCATTAATATGACAGAAAACTAGATCTTGCAAGATGGGCTGGAGTGAGAATGAACTCTGGGGTCTCTTGGCCTTGAATTTGAGTGCCTAGATATGATAGAGGAAGGGCTGTCAATGTTATGTGTGGCTGGTGGGTGAGAGGGATTGGGCAGAGAGGTGTCAAAAGCATTGGCTGCATAAGATAATAATGAAGATGGAATTGCTTCTGGCATAGGAACTTGTAGGTGTTGCTGCTTTTATAAAAAGACACACATGTGTGTCTTGCCTCTTCAACTAAATGATAAGTTCACAATCTACCTGCAGTACCCTGTTTGAAACTTCCTGGTATCCCATCCTTATCTGATACCTGGCACACAAGTATATATAACTGTACTGAGCAATAACCAAAGTGGGTGCACTTGGTCTCAGGGATCACCATAGGAGTTTTTGGAAAGATGTACTAGTAGATGACCTTCTTGCTCATTGTTTCTACCTCTGCCATGTTTTCCTGTGGCTGTGACATAGTGCCACATGTTCAAGGAGAACAGAAAAGGGTAAAAGCAACAGAGATCTTCTGATGGTCCCAATGTTCTTAGCAGGTACTATGTTACACACATTTCATGGATTATCTCATGTAATCCTTGCTGTAATTCTCTGAAATAAAAAGAAATATCATTACCCACATTTTCTAAATGGGAAACCTGGCGTACTCAGATTTTAATATCTTGTAAAAGATTACTCGGCCAACACAGCATTGTGATGCCAGACCCAAGTCCCAGCCATTTTGCTGTAATACTGAGAATGGCCCCTGACAGCAGAACTCTCCGGGATACACAGAACATTAGAATCCCACTGAGTATGGCTGTCAATAGATAATAAGTATCACTAAAATTCTTCTTTGTCAGAAAATGCATATTGGTTTCCACTGCAACATTATCTTAATTATGTTTATTTCATTGGCAAAATTCACCCTGTTTTCCCTATTCAAACTGTGTTTTTTTCAATGTGCATTTTAGATGACTGCCTTGAATGACTTGTATATTTTTATATCCTTGCTCTGAGAAATGCCATATGAAATCTACAATTTTACTTAAAAAATAGACAAACTGAAGCCAAGAGTTTCTTGAATAAGAATTGCATACTTTAAAAAATCCCTGATCTTAAGGACATATTATAGATGGGATGCCATTAGGTCTTTATAGAAGTTCAAAGTGACGGCGTTCCACTGAAATCTAATTTCAGTTTAACTTGAGAATATTTACCTTTGATATAGAATATCCTGTATACAACTAACAAAATCATAAAGTAAAATCCAGTGATCCACAATGTTCAAGTAATTTATTTAAGCCTAACATTTTTCATTATGTATTTATACAGCTGTTATATGTTTTTTTTCAAGTGACTCTTTTTATGTCAATGGGATTTAAAAGCCATGCTGGTTAAAGTTTTGCCAAATAAGCACAAAGCGAACCCCAGCTAAAGGAAAAAAAAAAAAAAGCACAGCCCATGAATTTTTAAAAGTTCATACATAATATATCATAAAAGTAGGATGAATAATATGGGACATGGGCTTTAATAAAAAGCTCCTTGACCATTTCTCAGAGACTTTGAGATGTAATCAATACCCAAAAAGGTATCTTGGGGACAAAGCCAAGATTTATGACATTTTTGCCTGGAGTGACACTTTCTGCTTACTATATCAGCTGGGGGACATGATATTGAATTTCAGAGAACACAAGAAAGGAAGGTCTTTTTTATCTGCCTGACAATCCTTCAAGGATGCACTTTATGGTTCAGCTGTGACATCATATTTGATGGAAGGAAAATAGCAACCTGAACAAGTCCTCTGAAGGCAACTGGGGGACTCACGTGTAGCTCGACATCAGTTCGTGACTGCGTCAGACTTCGGCTCCTTCCCACCTCTGAGAGCAAATCTCCAGATGAAAGATCCAAGATGCGGGAGTGAAGTTTCTAGGAGAAGCCAAGCAGAAACATGGAATAGCCATCATTTAACTGTTTCTTTTAAAATCCTGCCTTGGACAACTAAGTCTCAAAAGAAGTGACATTTCTGGATTAGAGAATACATGCCCTAATTCAAACACATTTATGCCAGTTTATTAGGTGTTCAATATATATGCACATATGCAAATTGCATTTTGTAAACAATAATCATACATTTTACAGTTTTTCCATCTGCCTTGGGAAATAGTTGAATAAGTTGTAGTTGAAAGATTAGCAGGAAATACGTGACTATCCCCAATATAATTACTGACTAGTGTGAAAATAACTTCTGATATTCATATTAAAAAACTCAATCATCAAGTTAACCTAAAGATGTTGAGTGGTGGTTAAAATCTAAGCAAATAATTACGAAAATGATCTTATTTCTGAACAGGACTGATCTTGTGAAATCTTCCCTTGGACACATTTTAACTCAAAGTCATTAGCGTCATCTGTTAGAAACAATTAATGTGAATAGAAAATAATTGCATCAGGGATCTGGGGACTCAGAGGATTTTGTGCATTAATATTTACGTGCTATTCGATTATATACTGAATTCTTTATTTCAGTTTTGCTTGGAAGGCCTGCTAAAACAGGGACATTTCACTATATTAATCTTTATACTAATTACTAAGACTTTTCTGTGGACATTAAATTTGATCAGTTTAATTGCAAATACAATAAAACCCATAATTTATTCTCTAATGTTTCTACTAGACCCGTGACATTTTAAAAGTGGTACTTGTACCCTGGTTTGTCTTGGTTACAACTTTTGTGACTTCAGACACTAAAAATGTCTAATCAAGTAAGTAAAAAAAAAAAAAAAAAGAGGAATAAATCCAAATCTGGCTGCCTGTTGCTTTGAAAATTCAATTTTTCTAATGAAGATAAAACCTCAATAGGTAAGTAGAAGACTGACTTTGTTTCTGAACAGTTTTTATAATCCTTAGGTTCTCTCTAGATTCTGAGTTTCCTGGGGACAAAGATAGAATTTCTCTCACCATTTAATTCCCAGGACCTGACACAGTATATTATACTCAGTAAGTACCCAATAAATGCTCATCACAGTCTATAAAGGAAAAATGATGTTGTTAGATTATCCCTATCTGTATATAGGTTTTAAACATTGAGAGAGTGCCAGAATAATTATAATGTTTTAAGACCCAAGAATACATTTATCAGTATGCAAACAGTAGAAGTAGTTATGGGAAATGACATTCAACAAAAGAAATTATGATTTTGAGTGGTATATCATGTGATTTGGAGGAAGAGTCCTGTATAGATATCTGACTTCTTATTCAGTTCATGACTGTACTTCACTCCTTTTTCTAAAATATATGATGTCACCCTTTCACTGACTGCATGAATATGTGCGGGTAAAAACCTCCTTTCCTAAATGATGTTATGCGTCACTGGTTTTTATCCAACCACTCAGTCCCTGCCTTGAAATCAGTAAGATCTTCCTGGAGATGGAAGAGGTCCTGGAGCAAGAGATCAGGGAACTTGAGTTCCAGCCTTGTTAAAGTACAGATTTCACGGGTTCTCAGGAATGTAATTGAACCTCTCACCTATTACAGAAGGATGGGAATGGCTGCTTAATTCACCATCAAAGAATGGGCACAAAGTCATAGCAAGAAGAGGTGATATATAGGAACCCATGTAGCCTTACTGCAAGTTATTGTCATAATTGAGAGTGCGTGGTAGGTGGTTTCTTAGAGGTTAGGTATAATCATTTGTTGCTATAGCATCCATGCATGTAAGGTAAACAAAAACCAACTCAGGAAAGTAAAATCTCAAAGAAAAATGTCGATGTATATGTGGGTGATAAAACCACTTTTGTGAAACCATGTTATAATCTGAGCTTAATTCTGAACTTGAAAAAAAAATAGTTGAATGTTTATGTGGACAATTCAAGTCACTGTCAGAAGAGGAGAGAGAAGGCATGACCCTTTCAGAGCCGTCCTCCTGCTGAGAGGGCAAATTCTCCATCTCACATTCAGCCATTCTTCATATTCCCCGTTGGAGTCCATCTGGATAAAATCTCTTACCTGAACAGCTTTAAACTTCAAATGTTTAGCCTGAAAATCCAGAAAAGTCCTGGATATGGTTATGTTTTGCTTTAGATGTGAAAGACAGCAAGACCACTCAATAAAGGTGTAAAACTGACATTGAATCATCTGTTACTTGGTCTTAGTAACTGAGTTTGGCCTCAGAAATAGACTCCTAGCCTCCCATATCTCCAAACCAGTGAGAAATACTTTCTTCAAATGCTTCCTTTGAGGGCAACATTTCTTTTTCTCCTTTCCTATCTGACTGGTTCCATTGAATCAAGAATGTGCCCCTCTCCCTTCTGAGTTGATGCTTTCATCCATATTTCCATCGGACACTATCCCAGCTCTTGTCTACCTAAAAGAAAACCTGCCCAGGATTCAAAACTACATTAAAACCCTACCTGGAAAGGTAGCAAAATACAACAATTACTAATTGGGCATTATGTAAAACTGTGGATGTATAACCGATGTGATTCTGCAATCTGCATTTGGGGTAAAATTGGGAGTTCATAACCCACTTCAATCTAATGTATGAAATATGATATGTCAAGAGCTTTGTAATGTTGTGAACAACCAATAAAAAAAAATTAAAAAAAAAAAAAAAACTACCTGGAAGATTACCTATCCTCAGTAATGCAGGGCAGGTTCCCTCCCCTGATGGATTACATTGCTCCCTCCCTCAGGTCCTTTATCTAGTGTACCAATACTGAACTGCTCCTGTTATAGGTTCTGCTTTCCCATGGGTTATCAGCTCCATGAGAATACAGGCCAAGTCCTATGTTTTCACTTTGTCCCTGAAGCAAAGACTGACACACAGCTGGTCTTTTCTCCTAGCCTCTTTTTTAGTAAAGGATGGCCATGGTTAGTTCTAGCCCACGGAGTGTGGGCAAAAATGATGTCTGCTACTTTCCCCTTGGTCCAGGAACATCCCACATATGTTTCTCTGTACTCTATTCCCTTCCATTGGCTCAATGCAGTGAACTCAGTACAGTAACTGTAGAGGCTACATGTCCAACAGGGAGCAAACCTGGGGAACAGAATTTGGACTCGTGAATTACCAACTGGATGACAATTACACTAGGACCAGAAATACCTCTTTTGGACTTTATATGAGGAACAAATCAGCCATGATTCATTTGGAGTTTGTTTGTTATCACTAACGCTGACTTGGCTGATATTGCCTTCCTTTGAGATAAGCACTTTGCAGCACACAAGGTAGTTACTCAGTAGGTACTTGCGTTCATACTCACGTACATCTGTGTGTTAATAAGTGCATCTGTGCACACACCTATTTACACATGTTTATGGCTGTTAGGGGACCAAGGTGACTTCCTACACTGAGGATTTCAGCTTCATGGGAACCAAGCTTACTTTCTGTCACTAGATGCAGGAGCAAGGGTGGGACATTTCTCGAAGGCTTAGACTGTATCACAAGTCATAGTGACAACCTACCTTCCATACCAGGATAAAATACCAAATTTAGTTTTGAAGACATAACAATGTCAGGGCAGCTGGTACCCAGACCACAGGTTGGATTAGTAATATATGGGGATTAACTTTCCCTCAGTTGGTTAGCCCTATGTTCTCTTCGTAGTCCTCTATCAATGAGACCGGGCAGAGAAATGTCCCCCATGAGAGACTATGCCAAGGATGAACTGTCCTTTATCAGGTGGGATAGAGGTAGAGTGACTCCTGTGGCTCTCCAGTTCATGAAGACAGCAGAAACTGGAGACTGAGGTATGCTCGAGCCTTTTAGAACTGGTCAGAGGATGAGAATTTTCCATTGTTTCTCTCTGTGGCTCACATGCACCAGTTTCTCAGGGGTCAGCGAAGGCTGGTTGCCTTTGATAGAATCCTGCCTCTAGGTTTTGACTCAGTTCTGTAGTGATTTCTTAACTTTAGGACAGTAATTGCGAAGGCCAGGAAGACATTGAGACCTTATTTAGTGGTACAAGGCAAAGTTAGAAAACAGAACTTCTGCTAAGAATTTTGCAGAACAAGGGACACTATTCAGAAATTATAAATGAAATAGAGTAATGAACAGTTTTTGTGTTTGCTAATGTGCTTCCTAAAGTTTGGAAAGGAAGGTGTGAATTTGTCCTTATGAGGATTTCAGAGGCTATTAGCTCAGCTTTAGGAATCAAGAGGAGAGGACAAAAAGGATTGTTTAACCATGGCTCTCTTCATTCAGATTTCTTGAGAGAATTAATCTAACGACATAATCATGCATGCAATTATTCTTCCCTCTAACTACTAAAGGCCAAATATCTGCACAAAAGGGAAGTTGTGAGAATAGATAGGGCATGTCTCTGACTACCACACTTTACCAACATGAACACCTTAGGTTTACCAACGGAGGGGGGATAGGAATGAAAATTTAATTTGATCTCTTTCAATCACCTCAATTGACTGAATCTTGCTCGATACAAGAATTAGTCCAAATTTTACCCCAGTCCTTTTATTCACTAGAACTGCATTTTATTCTTTGTGGAACAACTCAATTGAAGTGGAAGGCATCTATTCACACGGATCTCAAACTTCTGCTTTACTCCCAAGATGAGAAGGTCTCTTATTGCCATAGGACTTAGCACTAAACATTCTTTACGTACCATTCCCTGAATTCTATTCTTTACATGTTCCTCCCACAGGAAGGTATTTTTCTACTCTGAAGTTTCAACATAAAAAAATTTAGAGGAATAGAGAAATTGCTTGGAATCTTGCTACCTGCCACTGTTATTCAGCACCTGACCTAAGAGAAGGAATACCAGCAACCATCCTTGGTCACTCCCTGTGGGGCGAATGCATTGTACCTGTTCCCGTCCACCCTCTTGCTGAGCTCTGCTGCTCTCTACCATCTTGGATGGCTGCATTTTTGGAATTGGACTTCTTTAGGGATCAACCTCCTTCATAAGTGGTAG